AAGAATTAATATAAAGGATTCGTACACATATAAATATTTAAGAGATTTTTTTGCCATTCCCTATGTTACGTTTATAGGTGATTCAATAAAATAATACCAAACTCATACTCAAATGATAATTGTCATGAAGTTATAATATTCGCACGTACTGACTTCTCAAAAATCATGTCAAAATACACAATGCTAATTTTCCTAGATGAAGGCTCGACATTTATCTATTAAACTTTCGTATGGATCAAAACAGGTTGCACCACGGTGGATCTTTCGTACTGACAACAAGGAATCAGACTCCATTATCGCATTGAGGATGTTCTTTTACCATGCAAGTTCCATAGCTTTGAGGATGTTGTAGATTTCCGCAAGCATTGCATGACCTGCACCCAATTACATGTTGAAATCAAACTACCATGTTTCGCTCCCGACCCTTTATGAATACCCTTTGCTACTGAGAGGCTTTGGGATTTGAGGAACCGTCTACATTAATCGTATTATATATAGTATTTTATAGTCCAATATCACTTTATCTTCTCTAACCACATATATAATTTTACTTGTATGTTTTTTTTTAAGGAGAGTTGTGCAGTCAAAAACTGTTAGATGAAAAATCAGCTCCCTGATATGGAGAGTTGTCCCTTCATCTAACAATCTCAATTTTGCAACCCAATGAAGTTTAAATTGCAAATTAGGGAGAGCCCCTAATTAATTATTTAAAAAAAAAAGTATGTTACTAAAAAGTTAAAAAAAGTAGCAGAGATACAAAAATCTTCAAATTAGAAGTCAAGCTCAACTTTCAGGTTAAAATGGGGTCAAATGAACTCGATTCTTACCTTAAAAAAAAAAAAAAAAGGAACTTGATTCACTAGGATAAATTAAACATTTTCATGCAATTGGAAACCTATGAAGATCAATCCGAGCCCCAATCTAACTATAAATTTTAGCTAGTATTTGTCCCGAAAATAGTTAAATGTCATCTTCTACGCACTGCAGCATTCGATACACGCTGCATTGCTGCAGCTGGCTGTGCTTGTGATGCTAATTGACCAGTAGCCTGTTCCTCAGGCATATTCATTGCTTGGGTTATGGCATTCATGACTATGAGTCCAAGAGGGATCAAATACATCCACTACAAACAAAAGATTGAGTCAGTCTCACTCAACATGGCTTAGATAGAATACAATAAAGGATATTACAACTCCATCCCAACTTACATATTTGGCCCAAAAAGATCTTTCTGGCGGCTGCACAACTTCACCCTTCCCATTCTCACCACCCAGAACTTCTTCAGTAAAGATTGGAGCCCTATAAAACCAAAAAAGCAATGCCAAAAGCAATCCTTGTTTTTTAGGTTAAATAAAGCAACTTAAAATGAAAACAAAACTGTAATAGATAATTTGCAAATATGATGTATACAATGATGATCAGCTTGGACAAAATGTAGATGCATTTTAGTTATTTACTAAAACAAAGTTGTCCATTGAGGAAGGCCTGTATCTTATGCTCTTGAAATAGTAAAAGAAACAGGATGAGATTGCAATTTACAATTTATAACTTATCCTTTAAGCCATGAAATGGCTTCCAATTAGATGTCAATCAATAAAACTTAAGATAAAGAAAGAGTCAATAATGTTGAGAACATTAAAAATCATAAAAAGAAAAAGCAAGAGCTATAATACTGGATATGAAAACAAGCGAATAACATAGCTAAGAGAATACTTTGGTGCCTGCTCAGTGTTCTTTAAAACTGTGTGAGAGTTGAAGGCCCATTTAAAAGGCTGTTAGGTAAAGTGAACATAGATTACAATACAACTAGAGAAATGGTTTTAAGATTGCTAGAAATCACCTTCTATCTTCATGAAAGTTCAATTAATATTGCAAAATCAGTACATCAAAATCAATCTTCTGTTTTACAAGGCAAGTATAAAATATGAGAAAACAAAATATTCTGGAAGTCTAGAAGACAACAGAAGCATCTAAATGCCATGACATGCTTAAGGAAGAACAGTTGATGAGGTTATAGTTGTTGAATCATATGAACCCTAATTGAACATACCACAGTGCAAGAAATGACATTTGAAACTGCAACTTCAAAGTGACCTAAACTTATTCTAGATCCAATATCCAGGACAAGTGTTAGAGAATAAATTTATATCCCACAGAACCCATGGGCCATGAAATTTAAAGTTATCATTAAATCTATCAGCTGCAAAGCTGTGATTCTACACATTACACATTAAAATGATGACTTAAATTTAGGAAAAGATATTGTAGTACAAAGGGAAGTACACATGGAAGTGAAGCAGTAGACAAAACATTAATAATGGCAGTGTAATAGAGGAAAACAACCATGGCTAGGAAGTTCATGCTTTGGCTCATTCAAAGCTGCAAGTGAAAGGACTTTTAAGTGTTCCAGTGAAAATCCAACATATTGCCATCTTCAGGTGAAAACAACAACTTACGAATTTCAAATAAGTTGAGATTATTGTCCCTAATTTTTGTCATAAAATGATGGCCCCTCTTAAAACTTAGAAGTTCATTTTTAAGATATCTGCTTAAATTAATTGTAGAATAGGACAAATGGCAAGAATGACAACAATAAATTTGAGGAAGAGGCTATAATCTCCATAGTTTGCTCAACTAACTGAGAAACAAGAAAAAAGTAAGAGATAAATAGTAACTCACAAGTTTCAACTGCCAAGGATATGGACATGCCCCTGGAGAACCATAATTGACTGCCAAGATATTTACACCTTCCTGCAATAGCAGGGATAGAAGGGCAACAGCAATCAGGCAAACTACAGCAAGAACTACAAAAGGAAGTTTCATCCTGACAACCATCATATATACTTCCTTAGAAAACATTTTCCAATATAACACAAAAATTGACCATATGATAATCTAAAAAAGAAATGAGGAAATAAACACTAGATGCATGTCAAAGCAGTGAAAATTAACTATAAAGTTAGGCAAGTTAGAACCAAAAAAGGGGAACTCATTACCACTGACAAAATGAATTCATAACAAGTCTTCTTAAAAGTGGAACAATAAAGCTTTTCATTTTAAAATATGATAATTAATCCCATTTCAAAGAAGTGTTAGAAAGCTTTCCACATTACATTACATACCAAAGTTGCAAAAACAAATTTCTTCATAACAATTTTGATTAAATTAAAACCCAATCCTATTAACAGACCCAGGAGGGGGAGGGGATGATGCAGCACCAACATGTAAAGTTAACTCTAAATTACGATGTGTATGACAAAATGCTTGTCCAAACCCTCCCGTGGAAGACATCTCTGCAGTTAAACAAAAGATGGTGATAAATCATACAAATTCAAAAAGTGACAGCATAATTAAATTTTTTGAATAATTTCGTAATTGAGGGAAGAGCATTATGGCCTTACATTTTTTTAATTAATATTTGAAAACTAAAATTTCATATTCAAACCAAAAAGCTCTGACTTCCGCTGTCAAATTTTTATAGCATCAAAATTTATGGGAAAATTATATAACTTCTTTTAGACAAATGCTAAGAGTACGAGTTCATAATAAAAGCAACTATGAACAAACAGTGAGACGAAATACACATTCAGATTTGAGGCATGCTGTGTAGTCAATAGATTTAAGGCAGATTGCAGAGATCCTCATGATGAGCTTGATTAGAGACCTTAAATCTGACAGATAACTACACTGTATAGAAGTTTCAATCCAAAAGCAGAAAAGTACATATCCATTTGACGAACAAGCTTAACAGCTTAACCTATAAGAGGAAAATATTTGACCAGAAAGATAAAAACATTTTGAATTCATAAAAAACCTATAAGAGGTTAACTTACTGCTTACACTGATGAGATAATATAATCCTTCCCAGGGGGACTTAAAACATTGGATGGGAGCCTTATCTTGTAAAAGTCATCACCTTGAAGCAAGTTCTGTAGGACAGAGAACCATACAAATCAAAGCAATGTACAATGATTTATGATACACATGAATTGATTCCAAACAACATGCAATTACTTTGAACTTCTCCTTCTCCTCATTGGTGAAACCATTTCTTGAAAACCGTAGCTTTGTTAGTGTGTCAAAAAGAAAAATCGCATGTGAAATCCATTATCATACTTGGGCTTTTCTAAAAATAACAGCAAGCCAACTGTAATTGACAAAGTAGTCAGAATCAATCTTCAAATCTCAACAAAAGAATTCAAAAACTCTGTTGAGTTTCTGAGATAAAAGGGGAAAAAAGGGAAGGGGAAGAGGAAGTGTAAGCTCTTTAGTAAACCCCAATTTGTACCTCAGTTTTTAAACTTTATTTTAACAATTAAACAGATCCCCAGAACAGCAAAACAGGGTGAAAACAACCAAGAAGCTAAACTAGTAATCAGAAATGAATTCTAGATTAGCAATTTAGCATTGGATTTTAAATCTAACCTGGCCACCTTGATTCCAAGTCTTGAGGCGGGCGGAGAAGGTGCCAGCGGGAACGAAATCAGAGTCATCGAAAGCGTGCTCTAGAGAGAACTAGATCCTGGGGTCAGACTCCGACTCCGACTCCGAATGCCTCTTCCGAGAGGATCTAGTAGCCGTAGGGATGGATGCGGGTTCAGGGAAGCGAGGTGGAGCACCCTCGAGACCGAACTCCTCGTCGTCTAGGAGGAGCTTATCGGATTCGAATTGAAAGGAGGGGAAGGAGAAGAGCGAGAGAGTGAGCAAGAAAGTTAATATCACCTACTTCTTCATTTTTCTGGTTTTTCTGCTAGAGGAGGGGTTGATGTGTTTTGTGCTGTGAACAAGAGTGATTTGATTCCTCAAAACGACGTATGACCTTTCGTTGTTTCAATTTTTTTATTAGTCCCTGAACCCTTTTTCCTTTTTTTTTTTCGAGTCCTATAAATTAATAAAAAGTCAATTTTGATTATTTTGCCCTCAATTTTTTAAGTTCATATAATTTGGGGTTAAAATATAAGAGAGCATATGCAACTTCCCAAGTAGAAGAAAAATACAAGGTACGATTAGATGCTAAAACTATTTTACTTTTTTTTTTTTTTACATTAAGTGATGGGTTAGTTATACAATATAGTTTTTTTTTTAATTAAATGATAAGTTAGTTATGCAACAGAGGATAAGTATCCTCTTCTATTTTAGCTAGCATTGTTTTTAGGGTATGTTTAGTTTGATGAAAATGGAGTGGAGGAATGAGTTTTTTAATTAATTAAATTATAACATTTTAAAAATCTTGCAATCTAATTGATGAAAAAAAAGAAAAAAAAAAAACCCATACTTCCCTTCCCCTCCCTTCTATATCCTTCAAATCCATTAAGGATTTTGCACACAAATCTTTAGGAGATTAAGGGTATGTTTGGTTCAGCTTCCAAGTGCTTCAATTTTTTGACACTATTCATGTTTCGTAAGTTTAAATTTTCCTCTCAAAAACTTACATTTTAAAACATTTTTTTAACTTTAAAAAGATCATAAATAGTAAAAGATCAAAGGCTTCAAATTCAAGTTTTTCATAAACTTTCTTTTTACTCACTTTTTCATATATCTAAAAGCAACTTTTAATAAAAAAAAAGTAAAAGGTCCAATAAGCTACACCAAATAGACCTTAAAACTAGTGCCCCTATCTACCTCCAATTTGAAAAGGGCACTTGCACTACTCTTGCTCTCATCATAGTCATTTGCACATCAACCTCCCATGGACAATTGATGTAAGCCTCTATCCATCGAGCACTAGGAAGCATAGGTTGGCACCAACAATAGCCCTTGCTCTATGCCTTGGCACCCCAAGATTAGAACTTTGTGACATTGCCACGCGAACCTCTAACTCCCTACACCAAAACCTTAGACTAAATGAGAAAAGAAGGTCCCATTGGAAAGTGACCTTTTTCTTAGGGACTAACCACCTCTAATGGTGGACTCACCATTTTACGATCCACTAACCCATAGGCCAAAGAGAGGGTCCTACTTATAAAATTATATTTAATTTTGAGATACATGCAAGTTAATGTGAAAACATTATAACTATTAAAAGAATTAAACAATTTTCAATTAATTTTAAGTTCAGCAAAGAAGTAAAAAGTACTTTATATGAAGAAGGACATTCATATTTTCATCAACCCCTTTTTTCAAGTGGAGGAAGTAGGGAATGAGGAAATTAGAAAACTAAAGATACGTTGGTTCGATATCAACAAGGGAATCAGGGTTGCTTGGGGGAGTAAACATTTGTTTGAGAGGAAAAGTAGCAGAGGAAATTATGAGCAAAAGTGTAAAATCTTACTCTAGGTGAGTCTGCTCCTAATGCCAATGTAAATGACTTATTTAGATATTTTTTATCCTTCAAATATCTGTTTTTTAAAAATCCTAATCATGATTTTAATTTTAATAAGATTTTCAATACAATGCAGATATTAATGCACACTTAACCAATGCCTAAAGAGTATAAATTAGATAAATCCAATACAACCTCTTAGTTCTTGTTTTCTAATTTCCTCATTCCCTACTTTCTCCACTTTAAAATAAACATGAAATAATTAACACACCTGATATACAAATAAGTAAAACTCTATGGCAAAAGGAGCAACTAAGTAAAACTCTACAGTACAGAAAACAGCTAAAGTAAAACTCTAAGGACGAGTGTGTAAATGAAATAACGTTGATATTGCACGAATGGGGAGGACTGAATGGGTTCATTAGTTTGAGATCTCTAAGCAGACACCTGACCCTAAGCAGAGGCAGAGTGGTTATTTCCTTCGACATTGAGAGGGGAAGAGAAAAAAGATGGATGCCACGCGGAAGCAGCTATGACGACGTAAGGGAGCTGAATCGGAAGTACTACGACCGCGATGTCTGCCTCCTCTACTTGTCTGGCCTTTGCCCTCACGAGCTCTTCCAAATAACGGTATTCTCCTCATTGATTCGATAATCCGTTTCTCTATTCTTTATGCTTTGATAATTAATTGTTAATGGTTGATAGCCACTTTCTTTCCCTTTGAACCCTACTTTTATGTTTTCGAAGTGATTGTCTGTGTTTGGTTTCTGAGAAAATTTGGGGTTTTAGAAGCAATAGAAGTTTTTGGGGATGGATGGGGGCAAGGTAGAAGCCTAGAAGGGAAAGTGACAGATATACACCATCTGGTTTTTAGAATGGAGCCAGAGTTAAGTTGTTGTAACTCCTAATTTTGGAAACAAAGTGGCTAGGTTTATTTTATATTTATTTTCTTTTTAAATCTTTACTTCTGTTATATAAACCAATAAATAACTGATGGATGCAAATGAGGTCATTTGTTTTTATTTGTTAAAATGTGAATCTTTGAGGGAGAGTCGGATGTGGCAAGGAATCAGAATTAAGGGTGAATTACATGTATTTAGTAAGACTAACACTACAAGCATTTTGAAAGTGGTTTATAATAATGAAATATAAAGAAGAAACATGAGAAAAGAAGGGTATATATATGGAAAATTCTGCCAATTAGGGAGGAGTTTAGAAAGTGTACATGGAATTAAATTAGGGATAGCATGCAGAGTTGCTGACTTCATTGATTGGTTTGGTGGATGGGAGGTTGTAGTCTGTCTGAACCAATGGAGGGTGTAGACTTGAGTATTTGAGGTTGTAATTGTTTTGTA